TCTCCCACCCTCTCGCCGTCCCCCGTCCAAGCCTGGTGTAATGAATAAACACTATCCAGCCGACGTCTCCTGCTCAGCACGTGGAACACACTACCAACAGGTCGCAGGTGCGCGAGAACAGGGTTAAGGTCACAACGTCTCTTTGTCTCGACGTGTCCGAACCCTTTCCGCTATCGATGACCCGCCTACGCCGCTGACCTCCTCCTCCTTTTCTCTCGTCTCTCCTTCTCCGCTTCCCTCCCTTCTCCTCCACTGCTTTCATACTCCTCCTCCTCGCCTTCCTCCTCCTCGCTCCTCCTCGCTCGCTCCTCCTTTTCCCTCCCTTCCTTCCTCCTCCTCCTCCTCCTCCTCCTCCTCCTCCTCCTCCCCTCCTCCTCCTCCTCCTCCCTCCTCCTCCTCCTCTTCTTCCTCCTCATCTCCTTTGTCCTTAAAACCTTCTTCACGATGGCGAGCCTACCCCTGACCCCCTTCTCCCCTCCCCCCTTACTCCTGTGATACCAGACCTCCCTGGCACTCCTGGCATTCCTGGCGGCAGCGGCGGGCGGCGACTTTTGATCGTCCCTAGACCATCCTCCACGCCCGCATCCTACGCCGCCGTTGCGTCAGCCCCCGTTCTGCCAGGCCCCTTCGCCAGGCCCTTCTTTAAAACGTCGGTGCGGTGGCTGTGCGTATCTGAAAGCGTCTATCTGTCTCTGTCTCTGTTTCTCTCTCTCTCTCTGTTTCTCTCTCTCTCTCTCTCTCTCTCTCTCTCTCTCTCTCTCTCTCTCTCTCTCTCTCTCTCTCTCTCTCTCTCTCTCTCTCTCTCTCTCTCTCTCTCTCTCTCTCTCTCTCTCGACATAAAACCGCGATTTGTTTGCGCTTAATCTTTTGTTTTGTTTCGTTTTTGTTTTTGTTTCATTCTCTTCCATAACGGCCCCCCCCTCCCCCAACCAGGTCACCCCACCATGCCACGTGATGAGAGGAGAGAGAGAGAGAAGAGAGAGAAGAGAGAGAGAGAGAGAGAGAGAGAGAGAGAGAGAGAGAAGAGAAAGAGAGAAGAGAAGAGAGAGAGAGGAGAGAGAGAGAGAGAGAGGACGAGAGAAGAGAGAGAGGAGAGAGAGGAGAGAGGAGAGAGGAGAGTGAGAGAGAGAGAGAGGGAGAGAGAGGAGACGGGAGAGGGGAGAGGGGAGAGAGGGAGGAGAGAGGGAGGCGGAGAGGAGGAGGAGAGGAGAGGAGAGAGGGAGAGAGGGAGAGGAGGGAGGAGGGAGAGAGAGGGGAGGAGAGGAGGGAGGAGGAGGAGGGGGAGGGAGGAGAGAGGAGGGAGAGAGGGAGGAGAGGGGGAGGAGAGGGGAGAGAGGAGAGAGGGGAGGAGAAGGGAGAGAGAGAGAAGAGAGAGAGAGAGGAGAGAGAAGAGAGAGAGAGAGAGAGAGAGAGAGAGAGAGAGAGAGAGAGAGAGAGAGAGAGAGAGAGAGAGAGAGAGAGGAGATGGTGAGGTGGTGGGGAAGAATCATGTTGATGGTGGTGTTGGTGTTGGTTCTGATGGTGGCAAAGCTGGAGTTGGTGGTGCTGATGGTGGAGCTATGGGTGGTGGTGGTGCTAGTGTTGGTAATTCTGATGAAGGTGGTGCTAGTGGTGATTGATGATGATGACAATTGATGATGATCAAAGCAAAATGTAGGAATGGATGTTCACGTGACAAATAAAAAATATGAGTAATATTGTTCCATTCATCTTTGCCAAAGCAGTGTGGTCATTTATCATTTTCTGTTGAGTCGTTCAATAGGAACTCTCAAGAGAAATTTTACGTCCTTTTTTATTTGTACTGTCTTACACACACACACACATTTTAACCACATCTCCAAATCTTTTCTTTGACATCACTTCCCTTCTCTCAAACATAAATACTTTTCCTTCTTCAGACAAGAAGAAGAAGAAAAAAAAAAAGCTGTGATGGTCGGACCTACAAGAAGAATGCCACCTGAGAACATATGGCAGGGGGGTGGAAGGTATGCCACCTCGGGCCGCCCTTTGCTCGCACCCCATAGGTTCCTGGTGCCAGCCCTGCTCCTCGCCCTTGTTCTCCTCACACCCACAGGTAACGAACACAAATCTGGACGAGTGTGCCAGCTTCCCCAAAAGGTATCTTAAAAATACTGTACAGTGCAATCCGATGCAGCGGATGATGTTTGATATTTGACCCTTTACCTTTAGTGCTATGCATGTCAAATTACATCACCCGCTGTTTCAGATCATGCAGTACATTTGCTTTGAAGACCATTTTGGAAACTGGTACTGAGTACATGTGTGTGTGTATGAGGTTTGGGTGGGTGGGTTGGTTGTGTTTCTCAGTCTGTTTGTTTGTTTGTGTGTGGGTGTAGGTGTGCATGTGTGTGTGTGTATGCATGCATGTGTGCATACATGTGTGTATTAATAAACTTATAATGATGATGATGATGATGATGATGATGATGATGATGATGATGATGATGATGATGATGATGATGATGATGATGATGATGATGATGATGACATGATGATGATGATGATGATGATGATGATGATGATGATGATGATGATATGATGATGATGATGATATGATGATGATGATGATGCAATAGGCAATATTAATAATTAAATAATAATAATAATAATAGTAAAACAGTAGTACTAAATAGCTAAACCAAAATAGTTCAAATAATTTTTCCTACAAACTTCCCATTCTGTGCAGATGTATAACCAAGACCGTACCTTTGCCATCATACACATTCACATTGAGATTATTCCCTTCCCCAGTGGGCGGCATCAAATGTTACGAGTGTGTGCACAACAACCAGAGAATGAAGAGGCACAATCGCTACGTCTATCCCTGTTCAGAGTTTGATGGCTCAGACAGATACATCATGAACTGCCCAGACTCAAAGCTTTGTATTTACCAGCGGATAACTTTGCCATTATCGAACGGTAAGTATCTCCTTTGTTTGGAAGAAAGGAAAGACAGGGATATATATGTATTTATCATTTCATTTTTTTTTCTTTCTTTCTTTCTTTTTTCTTTTTTTTTTCTTATAATGGTCACAGAAAAATTCGGCAACCTACACGGTTACATACCTGAATGTAAATCTTCTAAATATTTCCTTTTGAAGTCAAAAACATTTATTCTTACGTATTTTCTTTCTAATTTCAGCAGATAACATAATTGTAAGAACAATGGATGGCTGCACCCCAAACACCACAGACAACGCTCGCTATGCCGAGGCGGGTCTGGTCAAAGAAGGTTGTATCCAGCACAAGAGTTTGTACAAGCCCCCCTCATCAGAGTACTGTTACTGTAGTCACAACCTCTGTAATGGGGCAACAATCAACTTGTCTTCTACAGTCGTCCTAGCACTCCTTTTAGCAACAGCACTTCTTAACAATTACCAATGGTCAAGCTCTTCCTGATATTTCCAAACCCGTAGATAATATAAAATACTATCTAAGCTGAGATCTCCTTTCCAAAATTTTCTACTACTTGCACCCAATATGTGAAGTGCAAATCTTCTACTTTGAGTAAATACAGGATGTTGCTAGTTTATGCTTATTTACAGGTTTACATGGTAATGCTGTGAAACTTCCTTGGTAAGTCTTTAGGTAGGTGTCAGATTTTGGGACTAACCGATTTCAAACGCACTTTGGGAACTGTAAATACTTGTCTACAAATCCAATAATGTTAATTTTTATACCATGTAAAAAAAATCCTTATACAAATTTATAGAATAATTTTATATGAACCATACCTTCATAGCTTGGTAAAACTTGGGAGCAGCTGACCCCACAGTTTTTTTTTCCACAAGATGTAATAGACTAGTCAATGTGCATGGCTGTGCTTTCTTGTGACTTCTTTCATTATGATGTAAGTCATTTTCATATATTGTAATAATGATGGCTATGTAATCATTTACTTAAATTTCAATCATTACTTAAAGTAACTATAGTGAAAACCAGAGCACACCGAAGCTCTGGATAAAGACTGTGATATTATGTTAGCATTCATTTGACTGTTGATAATGATAGATTTCAATGTTTAATATGGAATAAATGTTACTGAGGAATACATGTGTATCCTTCACAAAAGTAATGGAAACAAATATAATGTTCCAATGAGTTTTAGGTGTAATTCTGAGTTGTTTCTCTACCCTAAAACATGTAAATCAATTGGCTAAAGAAATGCAAATTCCCGGCTGATATGGATTATTCAAAACATTATTCCCTATTAACCTCCAAACAAATGACTACTAATGAAATTGGAGACAACTGTGCATGATCTATGATACAAATCCCACATAAACAGCTTCTCTCAAGCATACATATAAAAACACTCCAAAGGAAGCCTTCTTCCAGGCAAATAGAGAAAAAAAAATAAAAACCAAATGACGCACCAACCATTTCTCATGACTTCTCTTTAAAAATAAAGATCTCTAAAATTACATTTTCACTCGAAATACTATAAATGTGCCCTTTGCCTCCTTAATGTATCTGTTTCATTGCAAAAAAATATATACACATATATTTATACTTTATGGTTTTCTACTCACCTGAGAGTCAAACTCGATGAGGTACAAGAAAACCACGTCCTCTCTCTGCAGTCTGATGGCCGCATGTAGAGGGTGCTTGGTCTTACTCTTAAACATGGCATACAGCAAAGGAGCTGTCATGTGAGAGAAGTCATCAGGAGTGAAGTCATTCTGTGGAGGACAAAGACATAGCAGAAATGAATGGTGGGAAACTATTGGATGTATAAAATGAGCAATCAAATGATCAACCACTGAATATATATGGAAATGAAAGCAAGGACAACTAAAAAGGGTTGATGATGTCCACAGGAGTAACTTAATGAAAGGGTTGGATACCTTTCGCTCTTTTCTCCTCTACTTTTTTTTTTCAACACTCTTTCCTCTCTTGTCAATCTCAGACTCACTACAAAACCTGCTTTTCCACTTTTATTCTCCCTCCTCTCTCCTCTCCTTTCTATTCATCTCTCTTTCCTCCCTATTTCCTTACCTTGCTCAACTTTTCTCTATTTTACTAAAAGAACCAACAAGAACAAAAAAGACAACTTACTAACCCTGGAGTTTTATAACACAAGTCTCATGACAAACAATGAATTCCAAGGTCAAAGCTAATTGAAACATCTCCTTTGTTCTTCCCACAAAAAAAGAGACTATTTACAGTATCTAATAATAGTCTCCTCTATGTCTGTCTTTTCGTGTACCAGGAAACTAACATGAATGATACACTGTAATGCATTCAGTTCCTGATATCATTTAAAGTAAAGCATAATAACTTTCAAAATGCTTTCTAATAAATTAAAGGCAGGAATCAAAATATACAACTTTACAGTTGAAGTGCAATTACAGACTCTACTTTATGTAATACAGAAATATGTACTATGATATTAGAGAACATTCTTTGGTTGAAACTATTTCAATGAATTCTATAAAACTAAAATGTATCTTGTCATAAGCATTGATTATATGAAACATCAATCTTGACAAAACATCTCCAAACTTCAGTTGAAAAAAGTTTTTTTTTTCCATAACCCTTTCCCATTTCTGCCTGCCTAGCAAAATGCTCTGTGCTGCATATATTCACTTGCACACTAATTGAGGTAACGGACTTAGATGATCTTATGCAAAATGTGATTTTTACAATTTACCCCCATCAAATACAATCCTATCCCTTCAAACTGAGCCTAAATTCACCCTTATTCAACAAATTGCATGTTTGCAACAACTTCAGAAGACAGTTATCGCAATAAAAACCACAATCAGATTTTTCTTTGACAATGGAAGCTTCATAAAAATCAAAGAAAGTCAGTAATTTCTTTTAAAGGATTGGTAAAATACATTGCTCACAAAAGAGACAAGTTCACAAACACTTAGTCAATAAGGAGAAAATTGCTAGATCTCCTGGTGTTACCTTTCTATATGATTTCTTGAATTTTGGTAAAAAGAAGTTTTAGTTTCTGTTACTATTATTTTTGTCATCCATGATACTCATAAAATTAACATTACAAAATCATTCACATTAATAATAATAATGATGGCTCCTTGGTGACTCAGTGCTTCTGGAGCCATATAAGAGGAAACAAAATTAACAACACAGACCTACACAAAACAGCACATTCATATAAGTACTCCTATCATCAATGGGTTAATGTTTCAAATGATAAGCTTTTATTACATAAACCTTGATTCCAACATCTATGTTTTAAACCTGTGACAGGTAACCTTTACAAGTTAGGTGCAGACTAAGTTGTGAAATCAATTACTCTCACAGGGCCATAAGAAATAAAATATCATTTTTTCAAATTAACAAATTTTCATGATTGGTACAGATAACATACAGACAACATTCAATCCCAAACTCACCCAGTGTGTGGATATCAGTGTTGAACAATGATCCCTCAATGTCTGCGCACCAATCTCATCTGCTGTGTGAGAGTGAACGCAGTTTCACTGACCTGTAAGAGTACGTAACAGCCCGTTTTCAAAAAATCATAAATCTTGTATATCTCAAGCTTGAAAAAATGATGGAAGAAAGAATAAAATTCATGCAAAATTTATGCAAAAAAACTCGAAAAAGACGATGTTTTGAGTAGAATAATATTTGTAGAAATAAATTTTTTTGTGGGTTTTAATTCTTTAAAAAAAGTAACAATGTACCACAATTCCTTCCTTAAAAATTTTGTCACACTTATACTAACAAACAGCGACCGAATAAAACTTTAAGCTCATTCAACTTAACGAAAAGCACCGCTGCATCTCTCATGAGACTGAGCAAAAGTCATGCTCATTGAGCAGACTGACATATGTGTACTTGACATATCTTCATCCACAAAAACTAAATTTCAAATATCCATATACAAAAAAAAAATTCAATACAAAAAAACTACATATATAGGTATCCCAAATATTCATAATCATAATACAAAACTATCTATTCCACCATTCATGCTTCATTAACCTATAGGATATGTGCTCTCACTTCATGGTCCACTGTGTCTCATCAGGGTAGCCGCTGGTTCCATAGGTTGTCACTGCTGCCAGAACACTGTGCTTGGTCCTGATAATACAAGGTTGCCCATTAATGTCCTTTTCCTGAATGAACGAAAGGTGTGCCATTAATACAATTATCTCAGCATTCTTAAATTTATATGTATTAATGTGCCAACCTGCAATCCAAGTTCTCTGTCTGGGATCCCTTTTTTTAACCCTTAAAGGATACACTATTTTACAATATGCTGTGTTTGTGGAACACCAATACACTAAACAGTCACTTATATGTACTGTAATCTAGTTTGCATTTAAATATTTGAATTTTTTAAATTTAAATATTCAAATCTAAATATTACAAAAAGAAAGAGGAGGGGGTGGGACAGGAGAGAAGGAGAAGGAAGAGAAGGAGGGAGGAAGGGAGGGGAGGGGAGGGGAGGGTATGGGAGAGAGGAGGAAGAGGGAGGGAGAGAGAGTGTGAGAGTGT